CTTCAGGGATGGAACATCCACCACCTCTCTGGGCAACCTGTTCCAGTGTTCTACAACTCTCATGGTAAAAAATTTTTTCCTAATATCCAATCTGAATCTACCTCAGTGGTTTTTTTTTCCTCTCCAAATTGTAAAGATTTGCAAGGAACACAAAATATGTTGGATATTTTAGTAGATCTAGTGGACTGAAGGGGCCACAGCATCTTCTGTGTAAACGTGTATCTCTAGGATGATGCTGACTTCTAAAAGAGCTAAATGTAACATGTACACAAAATGCTTTGGTGATCAGTTCCTGTAGTAGTGGTTTTACATTGATCAAGAAAGGAAGGTGTTTGTGTTGCTCAAACCATGCTTTTCATGTTAATTAAGAGTATTCGATGTACTTATTCCTAAGAATGATCTCCAGTATATAGACTTACATACAGACACATGCATACAAATTTGTACTTACCTGTACAGAATAGAAGGGCACCAGGTTCTAAGGAAACAATCAGTTTTCTGTCGAAATGTGAGTCTGGCAGGTTTTAGTACATCAAAGATCGACAGCGATCCAGAATCCATCGCTTTGCACACCGCGCAGTCGTGTAACTTCTGGTTTAAAATTCAGTAGCTGTTAAAACCGAGCACAGCTCAAAAACAGAAATACCCTTTACTGAGATGAGATTCTAGAGCGTTGAAGAGTGGCAGAAGCAGTGTCTGTCTGCGTGAACAGCAGTGCATGGCTCTGCCTCGTCTAGCAGAGGGGACGGAGGTGTGGGTTATGGGATGTCAACATACGCCTTTTCTGACCTGATACTGACTTGCGTGCGGTGTTGTGCTGGTCAACGTCTACGAGCAGCTACCCAGTGATCTACATCAGTGAAATGATTCATTGGGAGGACTCACCTTCCCTCCACTCCAAAATCAATTTGGTTTTCTTTCTTCAGGTGGACAAGTTTTCCAATTTTTATGTTGGTGGGAATAGCTACCAGTAAATGTACATCTTAAGAGGGAGGGTGCTGTGAGAAGTCTTACCTCTGAATGAGAAACGGTGGCTGTAAGTACAAATTTCTATCAATGTGCAATGTATTAATGGAAGGTGAGCTAAATCTGCAGCCCTCAAAAGAAAGCCCCTGGTTTTCATGGAGCTGAGGTCACCATAGGTCAGCTCCTGAACTGAATCTCCATGTAGCCAACATGAGTGCTCTGGTGTGAGGAAGGAGAGACACAGCTTTCTTCAGGAGTACAGATTTGGACTAGGTTGGTGGCTTGAAATTGCAACTTAGGTTCAAAGTAGCTAGATTTTAACAGGAAGGAGAGGTTAAATCTGGGGTGACTGTCTGGGGGATTCCAAACTGATGCGTTAGAAGAGCTGCTCTTGCATGATCAGGAGGTTTTCTTCTTGAGCATAAGCTTCAATATAAGGAAATGCAGGAAGATGAAACCTTGACAGGGAGTATGTCAGAGATCATGCATAGCAAATCTGCTGAGTATGAGGAGCAAGGAGCTTTCCTTGTGTAATTTCATAAAAGCAGATTAAATATGGAGGTGTTTTTCTTCATTTCTTCACTTACATGTCTCAGGGTTTTTTTTTGAATGTGAAATTTGTATTATTTTGAAGAAAGGTGGACCTTGTCTCTGAGATAACCTTTTTCAAGAATAAAATGTTGTTCAGCCACGGAGGTAGCAAATCTGTGTTGCAGGTGTCCTTTAATAAATTATCTGTCTTTTCACAATGCATAAGAGGGTAAGAAATCTCCCAGGGAAGTATGAAAGGCCTCCTGGGAGGTGGTACCACAGAAATGAAGATAGAAGCATTTTCCAGGAATGGGTGATGATGAGTAAGAGTTTAATATGTAGGAAGGAGCCCATCTGAATACCTAGAGATTGTCAGAGTCTCCTTGGTTCTCTGAGGCATTGTAGTTTTCAGTCATGTAAATGTGTCAGTTTTACTGAAAGAACTGATTTTATGTTTTCTAAGAATGAAAAATATTTAGTATTCTAAATGCTGGAAAATAAAATTAACTGATACTGCAAAGCATGCTTTCACCTAACTGGGGAATGCAAGCCTATTCCTGTCTACTTTAACATGCTTAAAATGTAACATTATTCTGGAATAATAATTGAATTGAACATTGAGTGCAGCTTACTTCCTCTGCAGCAGAGTGTGCAGCTAAAAATTATTAGCAAAAGGCATTCAAGAGAAATGTAGTACATTTGGAAACAAACTACCTACAGTTATGTAAAACAAACAAAACTAAAACAAACAACAAAAAAACTCCACCCCAAACCATCCAAAAAGCTCTAGATGACAGTTTTC